AGTGGGACAGTTATCAGAAAGTACTGGTCCCATCTGACCATACAGGTCAGAAGATTACTCTGAGGAGAGACGGGGGTTGTTCCACCGAAAGATAATAGTACTAAACTGTTGACCTCATGTGTCCTAAGGGATACCTGAGGCCAAACTGGGACAGAGGCTAGAACAAGAATCTCAAGAAGATACCCCAAGAAAGCAGAGGTAGGTCTGCTAATCTGTGCGGTGGCACAGAAATATAGAGGTTGAGCAGCTGAAGATAACACCAGAGGCAAGGGATTAGTTTGTAAACCTGAAGGGGCATTCTCTGTATCTGAATGCCTGAAAAGCAAACTATGCAAGCATTCACAAGTGTTAAAAAGCCAGACCCAGTTTTGCCGTGACACAACGCGATGCTAACACTTCAGTGTGAACAGCACTGTGTGCTGCCATGTGCAGAATTTTCATAGGTGTTTGAGAAGCATTAAAAACGCTTCCCAAATGCCTGTATGACACCTGCTGACAAAGCTAGTGTGAACTGAGCCTAAATCAAGCACCTAAGCATATAGACTACTTCTACTAACATCTGTGAAAGAATGGGTCGCTCTCAGGAGCTCAGTGAATTCAAGTGTGGTACCGTGATAGGTTGCCACCTGTGCAATAAGTCCATCCATGAAATTTCCTTGCTACAAAATATTCCATAGTCAACAGTTAGGATACTTTCACACTGAGGAATTTTTGAAGCGTTTTGCATTAAAAAAAAAAGCACTAAAAAGCTCAAGAAAAATGCTACCTTATGTTTGTCTATGTATGTTTTCACACTGGGGCGTTGCGCTTCCATTGCAGTGTAAAAACTCCTGCTTACAGCATCTTTGGAGCATGTTTGTTCAGTTGAAAAACCATCCCAAAACTGCCTCTTCCCATTGAAATCAATGGAAAGCGACTGAAAAGCGCCTCTGAGAAGCATTTTTTGGTGTAGTTTTTAAGTCACATGCCCCTAAAAAACAGATCAGCGTGAAAGTAGCCTTAGTGGTATTATAACACAGTGGAAGCAACTGGGAACAACAGCAACTCAGCCACAAAAATGACAGAGCGGGGTCAGCTCATGCTGAGCGCACAGTGCACAAAAATCGCCAACTGTCTGCAGAGTCAATAGCTAAAGACATCCAAACTTCATGTGGCTTTCAGATTAACACAACAACAGTGCGTAGAGTGCTTCATGGAATGTATTTCCATGGCCGAGCAGCTGCATCCAAGCCTTATATCATCAAGTGCAATGCAAAGTGTCAGATGCAGTGGTGTAAAGCATGCCGCCACTGGACTCTAGAGCAGTGTATACGTGTTCTCTGGAGTGCCGAATCATGCTTCTCTGTCTGGCAATCCGATGGATGTGTCTGGGTTTGGCGGTTGCCAGAACGATACTTGCCTGACTGCATTGTGCAAAGTGTAAAGTTTTTTTAGACAATTTTATGCTCCCAACTTTGTGGGAACGGTTTGGGGATGACCTCTTCCTGTTCCAACATGACTGCGCACCAATGAACAAAGCAAAGGCCATAAATACATGGATGAGCGAATTTGGGGTGGAGGAACTTGACTGTCCAGACCTCAACCCCATAGAACACCTTTGGGATGAATTAGAGTGGAGACTGTGAGCCAGGCCTTCTTGTCCATCATCAGTGTCTGACCTCACAAATGCACTTCTGGAAGAATGGTCAAACATTCCCATAGACACACTCCTAAACCTTGTGGACAGCCTTCCCAGAAGAGTTGAAGCTGTTATAGCTGCAAAGGGTGGGCCAACTCAATATTGAACCCTACGGACTAAGACTGGGATGCCATTAAAGTTCATGTGCATGTAAAGGCAGGCAAATGTTAGAGCAAATGATCGCCTGCGAATTTGTATTGACTCCCTTTCACCAGGCCTTGGCCAAAATGAGGATATTACCCTGTGGGATACTTGCGGAGTATAGGAGCACGGAGTAAACCATCCTGTAATGAATCTTCAAGGTGAAAAGGGGGTAAGAGTGCCCGAAATACCTTACAAAGGCTCTAGGTGGCAAAGTGTGTGAACAGTGATATGATGTAACCCTCAGTCATCGGCATGAGACTGAGTACTGAGTGGCTGAATTTTAGTAGCAAGTTTGGTGAATACAGTCCAAACATAGCCCTGTTATTACAGTAATGGTCAGATACAAGGTGACTCTGTCTTAGCTGTCCACAACGCTGGACTGTAAATAATGTCCAGTGGGCATACCCCTGAAGGAGTCGTCAGGGACTGGGTTTCACAGGGGCGAACCACGGCACTGGACCTGTATAGCACCCTGTGACGAACAACACATTGCATGTAGTGCCAAGGTGAGTGCTCACGCGGGATCTAGTGCCCGGAACACCATTACATGCTGTCCCTAAAAGTAGGGTTTCTGTACTGCTCCCAATATTTTACCAAGGCTGCGCCGATCTGGATACACTGCTTCTATGCTGGCATTAGAAGACAGTGAGGGTTTGAGTGAAGAGTCAGCAGATAAAATAATAAATAAAAATTAACAAACTAGTTAAGCTAAAAATGATTTTCTCTGTGAAGGAGAAAAAGGTCCATCACCTTTAATCACTATTGCAAAACTAAGGATTCACAGGGTAAGGTAGGGTCATAGCAGAGGCACCAAGGGGGATGTGTACTCTTAGACTTTGCCAGTGTGCAGGCACCTGAAGGTATATGTCTATAATGCATGGTTTATGAATACTTTGCCGGTGTCCTGTATGATTAAGATATACCCAATATTTTAACCAACTGGGAAGACCTGCACTTTTTGGCTGTCTGGAAAAACTTCAGGATTTCAAATATCTAGCCTAAATGTTTTGCAGCAGCTGCTTGATTGGAGTCAAATTTTACATGAGAAGACTTAATCCAACAGAGACAAAGAGGAACATCTTACCACCTGAGGACACCAAACTAAACTGAGCAGGTTTGCTGGGGGTGGGGGAGTATAGCTACTGGGTCAGCCCTTTATTTTTTTTTTCCCCAAATATTGTGCATCATCCTATAGGCAGCATCATAACTTATCACAAAAAGATTTGTATTTCACTCTATTTTTTTTCAATTCAAAGTTCTACACAGCCCTACCACACAAAAAGTACAGCATGCTGGCCTTAGATTTCTCTACTGCAGTTAGATCAATACAGCCAGGTCACCGTCCTCTAGTGATGGAGATGGTGCTGTAGATCTTAATACATTTCCTCTTGCTTTCTGTCAACATGTTTCTTGTAAGCACATGAGCACTTCAGCACACCCACTTGGCTCCTAATGTTGTCCCTTTGCCTTTCTCAGAGCCAAAGTCTACTGTATAGAGGTTTACAAGAACTTCCGGTTCCGGGTTCGGACGCCATCTTTGGACTCTTTGCTGATTTCGATTTGTGAGGACCAAGTCAAATATCAGTCACATTAGCAATATTTGTATCAGACAAGACAAATCCATTCAGTGTCATTTTAACATATGCTTGGAGTCAATTTAAAGCCTCCTTTGTTTATACACGTGATCTCATTATGTTCGGTTATGTCCAAGTAGAATCGAAACAGAATCTTCCCAATGTCTTATATAGAGTCCAAAGATGGCGTGCAATATCCGGAAATAAATAAGTTAAAGACACTTACACTATTTGTATTCAAAACACATTGAATGTTACTTGGTTCATTGTCATTTTTAACATCTGCTTGTAGCTCAATTTAAAAAAAAAAAAAAAAAACGCATAAAAATAATATACCCTCCTTGTTTTTATGATACATATCTCATTTATGTGTTAAGTTTTTTTTAATAAGTAGTATTGCCTGGAAACAGTGCCCAAAAAGGTTTCAATCTTGCAGATAGGGTGATAGCAAAGGACTAGCCTGTGGACCAGGGGGATCTTGGTTATAGGCTCCCTGTGAGCTTTTTCTTATAATGAACTTGCTAGACCTTGCTTGGTTCCATGTTTGTCTGAAAGCAGTTGTAAAGCTAAAATGTTTTTTTCACCTGAATGCATTCGCCACATTAAGGTAAAAAATGTTTTACAGCTTGTTGTCCTCTCCCACCTTCTTAAATACTTACCTGACTCCTCAATCGTTTCAGCACTATGCATGGCTGGATCTCTTCTCTCCTCTCTTCCTCTTCACACAGGAATTCAGGCAGCAGCAGGAGCCATTGGCTGCTGTCAATCAAATGCAGAAGGAAGAGGGAGATGGGGCCAGCCCATGCTGTGTGTGTCTATAAACAAACACAGCTCGTGAGCGAGCACGCAAGTAGCTTGCTACGGGAGCCCATGAAGAAGAGCAGGAGCCAAGATAGCTGGCAGGGGACCCCAAAAAGAGGAGGTTTGGGACCGCTCTGTGCAATACCATTGCACAGAGAAGCTGAATATAACATGTTTATTATTTTAATTTAAAAAAAATTACCTTTAGTAACACTTGAAAGTGGCCATCTTGAGTAAAGTTTTGCATTCTAATGTCAGAGCTGCCCCATGATGACTGCCAATCCCATAACTGGTAAGGAATTATTTAAAAAGTAGCAGAAGTGCAGAAAGCACTGACCCACATAAGCAGAAATATCCTTGCACTGCATGTTCTCAGGTACAACTTACTCATTAGCAAGGAGAGAGAACGTTGACCAGCAAAACAGTGACACGGTGCCCTAGATTTAACACTGCAGCTATGAGGTTTAAGGCACAGGAATTCACTGATATTTTTCAGGAATTTAAGACAAAAGATAAATCTTTCAGGCTACCACTTAGGCAGAATCTACAATGTTGGATATAAGCTAGGAAATCTTTACTTTTTAAATTCAGGACAACTTTAAAAGAATCCTTTCCTTTTTGTAATATTTTATTGTTGTTCTTTCCATGACTGGGGGAAAATGAGGACAGGTGACACCTAGGAAAATTCTCATTTTCACTGCATTCAAACTTCCAAACAAACAATTTATTCGAACAGTGTGCTGATGTGCAATTCTTTTTAATAATTCAGTCCATTAAATACTTGGCACTATTAATCCACAAACCTTGTACTGTAGCCTGTGTCGGCGGCCCTTCAGATGCATGTCCCTAGCATTGGTATCATTGAAGCTGCATTCACAAAGTTTACAATGGAATCTCATTGTCTTCCCTTCTTCATTAAGAATCTGCAAAAAATAATGACAAATGTATAATGGTCTCAATTCATTTTTGTGCCTTTAAAGTGTCTTATTTCCTTTTTATAGTTAAAGTGTACTTATTCCATTTAACTTTTTTTCATTTAGAGCTGATCACCAACTTTTAGGGAAATGTAAATAGTTTGTTTGAACCAAGTTGTTCCAAACAATTACCTTCACTACTAGATGTGCCCACTGTGTGCATTGTATAAACTATATGCAGCCTCAGCTACATTCAGTATACAGCGCTTTGTTCCAGCAGTGCGATGGAATTTCCCATCCCACTCCTGGTAAAAAATTCAGTCAGACTGAGCACTGCTTAGCTTCTTCTGAATGGCGCAGATCATCAAGTCACCTGTCTGCCTTTGCACCTTACCCAGTCAGAGGAAGCTTTGTATTTATTCGTAGAATACATAGCTTCCCGTGAATAGCTAAGCAGCGCTCTGCCCAACTCAATTTGTTCTGGGTAGTTCTTATTTCACTAAAAGCTGTAGATCAGCTTTAAAGTTCTGTATATCCAAAGCCAAACCTGTATTGGTTGGACACGGTGGTTAGGAGTTAGGGCCTCAGGTTTTCCTGATATTGGTATCCCTGTTAGGAAGACATCCAGGTAATCCATGTCACTAAAAGTGAGAGAAAATGCAAACATTTACGTTTTCAACCCAGAACAGGAATTAAGGGGACATCTTCCACTGGTTACACTGTTATATGGTGATGGCATTTCCTTCATTATGGTGACATTTTATCTCACATCCTGTTTCTACTGGTGTGGATGTAATTCTCCCTAATAGGAACATAAAAAAAAAGTGTTTTAACTATTCCCTGCTTTTTAGAACTGGAAAAATGGATTACATTACAAGGCACAGGATCTTAGTCTTAGGCCATTGGTTATATGTGGATTCCTTCAGGTGATTAATAAACAAAGATGCAAGGATAGCCCTGCCCCACTAATTCCCAGCAAACTGCAGTTTTGTAGCAAGCAATAAAGTGTGAATCTTAAAAGGAGTGAAATAAGGAGTGATACAGAGGGGAGGGTCCTGTGTCTTGTAATGTGTTTCAAGAAAAGGATTTTACAGAAAAAATCCTATTTTCCTATTAGTACATTACAGAACACAGGAATTTAGTCCTAGCAACACAGAAAACAAATGCCAACACACACCCCAAACAGAAAAAAATGACAAGATTGTTCCCTTATAACATATATATATAAGAAAGGAACTTCCAGCTCACAACATTGTTCCCTCAATGGCTCTGTACTGGCTGAACAAACATTTGGTTGAAAACCATGTGTAAACAACCAACAAAAATGGCCACGGCGACACTTATGGTTAGCGTGCGTGCGTCTTGACGTCACTCCCCTAACACGTTTCGTCACTTCCGGACTTCGTCTGAGTGGTTTTGCGTTTTGCACAGAGTGGAGTGTTGTTATATATATTTAAAAGATAATGCACTATGGGTTTTTCTTTTTACTTTTTTGAGGTTTTCATGGAATATTTAGGATCATTTTCCTTCCAACTGGATTGAAGTGGAAAATTTGGGACCTTGGCACTGGACACATTTGGATTTATTTGAGTTTTGGGACATATTTGGGATTGAATTTGATTTGGTCACAACTTTTAATTTAATTGTATTAATTTTGATTGCATTAATTAATTTTATTTGTGGAATTTTATTTTATTTTGGATTTATGTGGTTTATCACAAAAAGGATATGTTATATTGTATACTTTCTAGGGAGAAAGTGTGACTTTTTGGTAGGAGTGGAGGAGAAGGAGGTTATTTGTTTATTGAAAGATTGTTCCCTTGCCTAAGGATCCAGTTCAAAGCAATATTACAGGCCGGCCCAACATCTTCCAAAAGGCAGGGTCTGGGTAAGGCTCCCCATGGCTATGTTGAGAATTCAACTGGTCTGGAACCACGAAGGGCTGCAGTGGCTACGGTGCAGCTAACTGATAAAAGAAACATCTTGGAATATAATTACCCAGAGAGAGAGACCTCCACAGAAGGTCAGCTTCTCTCAGTAGAGGAAAGAGGTCAATTACTGAAGGGCACTAGCAAACAACTAAGGCTAGCTCGGTCTAAGAGGGATGTCACTACAGCCTTCCTTTTTTTTGCAAATGTACAATCACCTGAAGGTCCAAAAAATGTGTATATACTGGCACAAAAAGCAAAACAACACTTGTAAACCGGGGATTAGGTAAGGAACAGTACTGACAGGTTAAACACTTGCCCTCAATAGCCCAATACATGACAAGGAAGTCAGTAGTAAAAACCATAAATATAGTAGACTGAACACAAAGTATTATTCCTAACTAGAATAAAACAACCCTTTAGAACTTGTGGGGACAGGACTTATAGTACTTGTCAGGTGCAGGTAGAAAAGTCTGTTTTCACAAGATATGCTCAGAAGGTCCATGGCCAGACAGGGGTTAAATTCCCAGTGCAATAGTGCTGATGTAGCTGGTATTCTTACTGAAGAAAGGAGGCAGAATGCTGTGTAATGATTGGATGGCAGATCAATGGTTTGCACAGAAGAATCCATGGCATGTGCTATTATAGAGCAGCAGCATTCCTTGTGACAGTCAATGTGCAGGCACAATCACGTACATGTATGTCATTGTGCTTGCTCGAGCTAAGGGGGTGCTGTGCACAGCAGATTGTGGATCCTGGTACTCGAAGCCCGGTGATTACATCACAGTTTCAACAAAGCTGTTATGAATTCATTCATAAGAGCTGTGTTTCCTATGCTGTGACTGGCCCACAGCGATCACATGGTACCTGGGCCAATCACAGCACCCTGTACCACGTGATTAGCTGTAACCAATCACAGATCACTAGTGATCACAGCTGTCAAAAATGACAATGATTTTTATTATAATAGCAAAGTGTAAAAAAAAGGTTGGCTAACACCCTCAGAGAAGTACAGTGTTACTATGGTGACACTGAACTAAAAGTATTTAAATTTTTTTAAAAAACATACTATCTCCACTCAGTGTCAATGGTCACCGCCACTCCAATGCTGTAATGCACTGGTGGCAAAAGTGAAAAAAAAATGTATTCAGATTTCTTCCTTTTCAAAAAAATTGTGACCAAGAATTACAACTTTAAAAAACTTGCCATGTCTCTTACTAAATACCTCAGACTGTCTACTTTCCGGGGCCATTGAGGGGGAATTTGTACTGTCCTGGTATTTATGGCCTAGTACACAAAATCGTACAAAAAATATAGCTTTCGAAGCGATCGTACAATAATCTGATCGTTAGTACACAGCTTCGAAATTATCTGAAGGGATAAGCACGAACATATTTCTCGTATGATTACTCTATGGTTTCCTGGGCCATGAAGGCAGCATTCCAGTTGACTACGCTGCATCTAGGTGACCCCTGCAACCTTGTTGGGTCAACAGAGCCTTTATAAGGCCCCTGGGTTTTGGCGCACGTTATGAAAGTGACTAGAGTAGGAAAAGAGCACCTGTCTATCAGGGAAAGTGATAGAGTCAGGGAAAGGTTCCTGATGAGTAGAGTCAGGCTAGGGATTTGCAAACTTGTGCTGTAGCCTCCCCTTTTGGACCAAACAGGCCACATTCCTCCCTCTGAAGACAGACACTGTTGGTACAATGTTACCTGCTGCCTCTCTGTCAAGACTAACCGTGAGTGTTACCCTAAGCGGTGTTCTCCCACTGGGGTTGCTTGTGGCTCGCTTCTCTACAGTACAAGATTTGAGTTTTCTGCAACTAGACTCTGTGTCTTTACTGCCACTGCACCTCCTCACAGGTGCAATTTTTACAGAGATGACATAACTGGTTGCTGGGGATGTTTTGAACCCAGTTTTGATGGTGGCAACTGTCATGATGTAAGACTTGCCACTAGTGGGCTTGAAATGGTTCTAGGTGTATATTGTATTGTTGTCATGGTATAATTCAAGGTTCAGGAGAATAAGCGATCACCCAGGGGTTGTCATTGCAGTATTTTGCGAACGGTTCTGTGGAATGGGGTTGTCCCCATTCTCAGACGATGAACCTAGCAGCCAAAATAAGATATGGGGGGCAAATGGGTTTATTTGTCAGATATCATTGTCCTCCCAGAATGACGCAGTAAGGTTTGCGTGTTTTTATTAACTTTTTATTATTATACTATCAATAAAGTGTCATGCCAGTCACTTGCTAGCTCCTTCCCATGAACCACCCCCTTTTTAAATCTCTGTAAAAGAGTATGTATAGCTTTTTGCCCTCATTATACTACCCATTGGCTTGAAAAAAGGAGCGCTTACCTTTCGAAATGCATTGCCTAGCAACTCGAATAAACCTGGAAGTTTCTTTCCCCACTTTCTCCACAGCTGACACGCTGCTGCTTATATCATTGCTTTACAAAGAGAGATCATTTTGCCTTCCTCACTCTTTTCTCAGCACTACAGGCTTTATCTCTCTCCAAAACAGCCAGTCAGTACTGAGAGTAAGGAGCGGACGCTCTTTACTCCCTCCAATGACAGCTCTGCGGGCTTCTTTTTTATGTAAACCACCAATTTAATATCCAATCATTACTCTGCCTCTTTTCTCCTGCAAAAATCCTTGCTACCGCAGGACCATTACACTGGAAATATAACCCCGCCTGACACTTATCACCTGTGGGTAGATGCAAAACATCCAGCTGTGATTATTTAAAGCATGTGTCCTGTACTGTACAATCTGGAAATTAAATCATTCCGTTTCCAGTCCAGATCATCAACCCCCGTTTTTCACCTTTTGGTCCTTAACTAGTTCTTCCTTTGAATCCTTTGTCATTAGAAAATTATCACCTGTTTCTCAATTCTCTACCCATTTCACAATGAGCTTCCAGGCACACAACTAGTCATTTTAAAAATAAATTGACTGAGATGCTATGGTTCGAGCAGTTTTTTGATATGAGTCTTGTGTGCATCATGAATGTCGAAGATCGACATGTCTGTTATCCTCCCCTCCAATGTACTTCTACCTATGTTGCTTATTTTACAATGACTACTTTTATGCTGCTCTAGGACAGTTTTTTATTTTGTGGAAATTGTTTCCATAGAGCCATCTCTCTATTGTTCTGTTCAAAAAGTCAATAAACACTTTCAAATAATAAAAATAAATTGAAGCTAAAACTATACCTCTTCCACATAACTTTCTCCAACAGGTTTCACAGGATTTCCATAAAACGTATCTTGGGCATCCTTGGGTCCTTCTTCCACCTCTAATATTGATGGGTTTTGCTTGGAACTTGTAGATGAAACTGCAGATGATTCTGGAAAAAAAAAAAAAAAACATATAGTGAGGTACTTGCAGATCACCCTGAAGCTTGAAAATCACCACTATGTACTGGAAGCTACCAAACACAACATACACTAATCACTGCTGCCACAGTGCATTATTACTCCATAAATAAATGCATATAAAAATATTTTTAAACAACCCACTAGGTTGTCATCTCAGGAGATGGTCATGATCAAGATAAGTGGAACATCATGACTTGATCAAAATACAGTGAAGGAAATAAGTATTTGATCCCCTGCTGATTTTGAATGTTTGCCCACTCACAAAGAAATGATCAGTACAAAAATCGAATGGTAGGTATATTGTAACACTGAGAGACAGAATAACAACAAAAAAAATTCAGAAGAAATGCATGTCTAATAAATTATGCAACTTTCAGCTCCCTCCACAGATTTTCAATCAGATTAAGGTCTGGAGACTGGCTAGGCCACTCCAGGACCTTAATGTGCTTCTTCTTGAGCCACTCCTTTGTCGCCTTGGCCGTGTGTTTTGGGTCATTGTCATGCTGGAACACCCATCCACGACCCATTTTCAATGCCCTGGCTGAGGGAAGAAGGTTCTCACCCAAGATTTGACAGTACATTGCCCTGTCCATCGTCCCTTTGATGCGGTGCAGTTGTCCTGTCCTCCTAGCAGAAAAACACCCCCAAATCAGAATGTTTCCACCACCATGTTTGACAGTTGGGATGGTGTTCTTGGGGTCATAGGCAGCATTCCTTCTCTTCCAAACATGGCGAGTTGAGTTGATGCCAAAGAGCTTGATTTTGGTCTCATCTGATCACAACACTTTCACCCAGTCCTCCTCCGCATCATTCAGATGTTCAGTAGATCCAGTGATATTGGATCAAATACTTATTTCCCTCATGAACATGCAAATCAGTGCATAATTTCTTAGACATGCATTTCTTTTGAATTTTTTGTTGCTATTCTGTCTCTTGGTGTTACAGTACACCTACCATTCGATTTTTAGACTGATCATTTCTTTGTGAGTGGGCAAACATTCAAAATCAGCAGGGGATCAAATATGTATTTTCTTCACTGTAAGTGGAATGTCATGGCTTCGAAGTCTGCAGGCTCCAAGCTATGTTTGTGCAATCCACTGGTGAAGAGGGCAGCAACCACATTTCGTCTTTACTGTTATTGTGCAAACACCGCTGTCTCCCTCCCACTGCAGCTCAGACTCTTCTAAAGAATATTTTGCATAGCACTGCGACACATAAAAAAAAGGTGATGCTACTGCCCATGTGGTAGAAAATGGTGCCTATGCCTGGTAGAAAAAAAGGATTTACATACCTATCAAACTCCCACATGTGCCAGGTATTTGCATAATTTTGGATCATATAAAAATCACTGCCACCAACCCACTAGTTCTGCTTTTAAGGGAGCCCAGTGCCACAATACTAGCCTGTTCCACATCTGGCTGTGAAGCCATAGACCATATCGTGGCTTGTGTTTTGCCACTACTCCCCATGTTCTTGCATGTACTTTGTTGCTCATATGCAGTGCAGTGATCAGCTCGATCACTGTGCCACAGTGCACTCCATCTCCTTATCAGCTTCTTTATCTATGCACCAGCAATCCGCATCCATATTTTGTCTGTTGCCCACCCACCACAAAAGTTATTATTGGTATAAAGTATAGTACAATCTGTATAATGTACATTACAAGTACTGTATAATCTGTAGAGCTGTTAAAGTGTCCTTAAATGCAAAAAATAATCGTTCCCCTTTTTTGAAAAGATCAGAAGAGAGAAAATACCTGGTGATCCTCTCAGTGCATATTACATCCTTGCTCAGAGTGGCAACAGTATGCTGGCCTATTCACAGTGTTCCCACCGTTTGTGTATTTTCCATTTCAAGCCCTGCCCTCTTCTTCACCCCTCCCACTAGACACCCCACATGACACTCCTGCATGTCATATGGGACAGCTACAGCATCATGACTGACCGCAGAGCACTTCTGCAGCGTTCAAATGACTAAGACTTGAAAAAAAAAAATCCATCTAAATATCATTAGCATTATTTAAACAGTTAGTTCACCTTTGAGGGGCAATGATTCTGGGACCCTCACTGAATACAGGTGGGGTGGGGATGTTGATGGGGACCCTGGGGACCCAGACCTAATAAGAGTGAACTCTGGGGACCCAGATGCGAGGGGGAAAAAAATGGGGACCCTAATGCGTCACTGTTGCTGGGAATGGGGATTGTAAAACAATGTATATTTGCTAAATAAAGAATTTAAAAATTCTGTGCCAGTCCAAAGTGCACTTTAGGGCATGGTAGTCCACTTTTATTGAACAAAACGAAAAGTTCACATCAGCTTTCCACACAGGGACCATTAACACTATTAACATCATTAACATCAACAGAAAATGCAGAGCCACATAACTACATTGTCAGCGGGACTGCTGCTCTTCTTACCAGTCCTTAGCTGTAATGTCCAGCTCTCCTGGTTCACTTAGTCTCTACTTACAGGGCCCACTGCACAACCCACTCCTGGCTTCTGGATAGGGGTTCTCCTGACACTGCGCTAGGAGCCCACCTGACTCCTGGAACAAGACCCCCATCTCCGGGCTTGGGCACCTCTTACCCCTGGTTGAAACCTGTCTCCTGACTCCTGGCTGGGACTGTTCTGACCTCTGGGTGAGACCGTTTCCAATGTGGGAGCTGTCTCCAAGCTGGGACCTCTGAGCTATCCTCAGGATTGGCTAAATAAGGCCCCTGCACACATGTATACTCATACAGGCTGCAAGCACCTGGTAAAATCAAGATACAGGATAGAAGGTTCTGCACCACCCAATACACTTTGGAACCTTCAAGCTCCATGCCCTGATCAGGGACTATAGAATCATGAGAAAACCAAAACCACAGCTTTCTCTACTCAGATATGATAGTCTAAAACTCTGCATTAACCCTAATGCAAATCTTCTCATTTTCGCCTACATTTTCATAATGACAGAGCCTCATACTGTCACAGACCTTAATGTAAGGATGGTGAATCTGGGAACCCTTATATAAAAGGTAAGGAAACTCTGGGGACTCTAAGTGGGGGTGCTTTGGGGACCCCGATTTAAAAAGGAGGGGGAAATTTGGGGTCTCTAATGAAACATGTTCACCCTGATGTAAAAGGGGGTGAATTTGGGATCCCTAATTTGGGGCCTGTGGACACTCTGAAGAGTTTAGTTTTCTAAAAGTAGTAATTAGTACAGGAATTGGGACTCATCTGAGGTAGGACAGTTCAAGAATTGGGGCTGATCTGAGAAGTGAAGGTGCAGGAAATGGGATCGATTTGAGGTGTGAAGGTGCAGAAATTGGGACAGATCTAAGGTATGAAGGTGCAGGAATTGGGATAGATCTGAGGTATGAAGGTGCAGGAATTGGGACAGATCTGAGGTGTGATGGTGCAGGAATTGGGACAGATCTGAGGTGTGATGGTGCAGGAATTGGGACAGATCTGAGGTGTGATGGTGCAGGAATTGGGACCAATCTGAGGTGTTAAGGTGCAGGAATTGAGGCTGATCTGAGGTGTGAAGGGTACAGAAACTGGGGCTGACCTGAAATGTGAAGGTTCAGGAATTGGGTCTGATGGTGCAGGAATTGAGTCTGATGGTGTAGGAATTGCGGTTGATATGGTGCCTGAAGGTGCAAGCATTGGGGTGATGTGAGGTGTGAAGGAGGAGAAACTGAGGCTGATCTGAGATTAAAAGGTACATGCATTGGGGCTCATTTGAGTTCTGAAGGTGCAGTAATTGGACCTGATCTGCGGTATGAAGGTGCAGGAATTAGGGGTGATGTGAGGTGTGAAAGTTAGGAATCAGGCTGATATGAGGTGTGAAGGTACAGCAACTGGGCTGATTGAAGGTCTGATGGTGCAGGATTGAGGATGATCTGAGGTGCAAAGGTGCAGGAATCAGGACTGATCTGAGATATGAAGGTGCAGGAAGTGGGGTGATCTGAGGTGTGAAGGAGCATAAATTAGGGCTGATCTGATATGTGCAGATGCAGCAACTGGGGCTGATCTAAGGTCTGAAGGTGCAGGAACAGGGGCTGATCTGAGGTGTGAAGGTGCAGGAATTGGTGTGAACTAAGGTGTAAAAGTGCAGGATTTTGGGTGATCTGAGGTGTAATGTTGCAGGAATTGAACTGATCTGAGGTGTGAAGGTGTAAGATTTGGGGTGATCAAAGGTGTGGCAGTGAAGCAATTGGACTGATCTGAGGTGTAAAGGTGCAGGATATGGAGTGATTAGAGGCAAGATGGTGCAGGAATTGGGCTAATCTAATGTGTGAAGGTGCAGAAATTGGGGCTGATCTGAGATCTGAAGGTACAGAAATTGGGTCTGATCTGAGAGAGCTTTATTAGAATAACCACTATAACCTCACAGTTTATTTCTAGAAATGTACAGGAATTGGGGCTGATGTGAGGTGTGCAGGTGCAGGAACTGAGTCTAATGAGAGGTATGAAGGTGCAGGATTTGGAGTGATCTGAGGTGTGATGGTGCAGAAATTGTGGTGTTCTGAGGTGTGAAGGTGCAGAAATTGGGATTGATCTGAGAGAACTTTATTAGGATGACTGCTTTTACCTCACACTATTTCCAACTGTGTATTAAGCAGAAATCCTTGACTGGCATATTCAGTTCAACCTTACCGTAATTACCTTGCAGCACACCTGTTATATGGATAAGCTACCATTTACTTTACCACTTACAGTTCTCTGAAAGTGCAATATTTTCAAGTCGTTTACAGCATTTTTTTTTTTTCCTGATTGAGAGTGTGAAGTTGACATTTTTTTTTATGTAGATGGAACTCTCAATTTCTTTGAAAGTATTTTTCACAAAGTATGAGAAAGGGCTCTTTACAAGAAAGGGCTGCTAGATCAGGGACACTTCTAACAGATGTGATGGTCACCAAAAAGGCTACTTTACATACAAGGACTTCTAAGGGAAAATCCCTGATGGGTTCAAAGGGTGGTTTCT